TTTAAGATAGGTGGACTTCAACTCCCAGAGTTCCCCAGCCAGCTGGCTGGGGAACTCTGGGAGTTGAAGTCCACCTATCTTAAAATTGCTGAGATTGAGAAGCTCTGGGAGTTGAAGTCCACCTATCTTAAAGTTGCTGAGGTTCAAAAACTCTGGGAGTTGAAGTCCACCCATCTTAAAAATGAAGTACTGGGCGTGTGTCAAAAAAATAAAGATGGCGGTTCTGACTGATATTGAAGACCTGCCCCTTTTTTACATACACACTATCAATCTTTAAAATAAATAACTAGCAATAATAAACTGAGAACTCATGGAGGGATCTTGGACTTATTGTGGGGTCTCAGGCTGTTCGTCTACTTGAATGAGTTTTTCCTCACACTTATAACCATGTCATGTCTGTAGCTCTTGACAGAAATCTCTGTTGCCAGTTGCCAGTTAGACTAGCACCATATTTTGTCACACATTAATGTTACTTAAAGAGGGCGGCAAGAATCGTGCAATTTCCCTTCCTGTCATGCTAGAATCATCCAGTGATGCAAGAGACGCATCATGTGATTCTTCTAAGGGCAGTGCGGCATCCATGAACGCACCAGCCATCTATCACTTCTTAAAGCAGCTGCGTCTTGTCTTGGGATTCTGCAGTACCATCCCAGGAAAAGACAAGTGGGATTTCAGGAGTTGCCAACAGTGCTCCATGCAGATCCCTGCACACTCCAAAGCACTCTTTTGCCTAATGCATCTGTATGAACAGAAGAATGTGTATTCAGTGCCTGTTGGGCCACAATGCAGATTCAAGCTTTGGAGATACATCTCTAGCAGCTTTAACGGGGATGGCGTATGCTTCGCGGTGGATCTAGGTTACGGGGGAGTGGAACAGGAAGAGAGTTGAGGCGGTTGCACTGAAAAAACGCAAGCACGGATGCGTCAGCTCACCACAGGGCTCGAATCAAACTGCAATACCACATGTTGTATAAAGGCCATCAAGTAGGCAGGGTGCTTCATCAGAATCTCCAGGTTCTGGAACAAGCTGCTTTGAGTGTCTGGGTGCTGGAACTGTGGAGAGAATCCAAAATAGGAAAACTGGAAATGCCATTTTCAACACCCTTGGGAATGGAGTTTCCTCACCCAGCCTCTATATACCAGCTGCCTGTTTCTTCTGTCTCCTGTTCAGATCCTCCTGTGTTTTTCCCCCTCATCCATCACTAACAAGAACCTCAGAAGAATCCACAGGCTGGATCAGGCCAGCAGCTCCTCAGACCCAGCCCTCTGTGCTACACATTCAACTCAATGCATTCAGGAAATGCACAAGTGTACCCTGGAACATATTTTTTTCCCTCCGTTGCCATCGCTCAGAAGCTGGCTTTCTTGTGATTCTACCCAACCAGGTGGTAACATCTAGCTGACCTTGCGTGATCTCAAAAGCTAAAAGGGCTGGACCTGGTTAGTATTTGGAAGGGAATCACCCAGGAAATCCCAGGATGGGAGGCTAGATTGAGAAGTCCCAAAAACAAGCTGGAAAAAGGCAATAGGAAATTACTTCCATCAAGAAAATGACCCGCCCATGTCCATGAAATCACCAGGACCTATGCAAATCCATCCAATCTCTTAAAAGTGTCTAAAAGTGTGGGTCTCCCCAGTTTGATGGCAGTGAGCTTCATAATTTAACTCTACATTTCATGGAGAAGTCCTTCCTTTTTCACTCCTAAATTTTCCTTCATTAGCACAAGCTGGATAACCAACTGGGCTGGGAATGCTGTAGCACTGGATTCCTGCATTTGGCAGGAGGCTGAACTAGATAATCTCTAAGCTCCCTTCCAACCTTCACATTCTACAGTTGTATGATTTAGCTTCAACAAGTGACTCTGAGCTTGATCACGGGGGCGGGGAGACACCTCCGCTTCCATACTGTACATGGGTCAATAAACTATGTATTAGCATGTTCTTTCTTCCACACTTTTGCCCAACCTAATCCCCCCTCTTTCCTTGTAGGGGCCCACTTTATCCCCGTAACCCTCTTAGTTGCTCTCTCTTGCATTTGTTCTGCAGTTCTCCCACTTACAGGCTCAATGTCATTTTCAAAGTCCTCATCTTCTGCACCAATGATGGCCATGGCCGAACCTCCTTGAGCTCCTAGGGCTGAGCTCTGGCAAAAAAGAAACACCAGAAAGGCCCAGGGTCATTTAGGGCAGTGTTTCCCAAATTCAGCAACTTCAGCTCCCAGAACTCCCCAGCCAGCCTCCACACATCTTAAAGTTGCTGAGGTTGAGAAACACTGATGTAGGCAACAGGATCGGGAAGAGACCCACCAAACCCACCACAACCTGTGGGTCTCTTTCCACCACAGTCAAAGGGTCCAAGCATTCCACTTGTTGAAGTAGTTCACAATTACTTTCTCTTTTCCCATCCTCCCAATTTTTAATATAAACAGAAAGCTTTGGGTGAGAATCGTATTACCCCTCCCGCTCATTAATCAGTATAACTAATTTATAAATACCCACCACTTTCTCTTAAAGTCAATTTCCCTAACACAGCACCCTTCAATTACGGTGAAAATGCAAACCCTGAGAATTCAGTATCAATGCAGGACAGAATAAGAGCCAGTTTGGGGTGGTGGTAGGAGGCACTGGACTAGAAGCTGAGAGATCGTGACTTCTAGTCCTGCCTTAAGCACAAAGCCAGCTGGGTGACCCTGGGCCAGTCACTCTCTCTCAACTTAGAAAGAAAACAATAGTAAGTCACCTCCAAACTAGTGGCCAAGAAAACTGCAGAGACTCGTCCATGCAGTCGCCAGGAGTCAAGACTGACTTAAAAGAGCATGCACACACATACAATATAGAAAAGAACTCCCATTTGCAAGCACGCTGGCATCCTCACTTCCCTCCCTCGCCCCCAGCAAATTACTTACTCCATTGTAGCCCTCCTCTAACTCCATTCTGCCCCCTTGGGGGGGAGGGAGGGTCCCCAGCAGCTGGGTCAGGGTGTCCAAATAGCCTGGATCAGCATACACCTTCTGGTGGCACAGAAATATTATTTATTATTATTATCATTATTATTATTCTTACAATTATTAGTAATCTACAATTAGATTCACAAAGACTGATGGAAACTTAATCATTCAAGTCCTAACCAAGGACCTAAAACCAAGAATTATTCAGGTAGCATCTGAGGATATAAGCAGTTGCAAGCAGGATGGATGGATGGATGGATGGATGGATGGATGGATGGAGATAGATAGATAGATAGATAG